TTTCTCTTTTTGTAGTGTATTGGTCTTTTGTAGAGGTTTTTCAATGCCAGCTAAAATCTTGCCTAGGGCAGCACATTGGTCAAAAACGGCCCTGGTGTCATCCCCACAGCACCCCCCATTTGAAACATGTTCCCACGGCTATGGTCCTCAAGGATTTTCTAAGATATTGTGTTCACGAGAATGGACGTATGTACAGACATATGAATGCAGAGGCATAAAGGTCACACAAAATCTTACATTTAAAAACTAAAATCTTTGTATATTAAGGTGAATTAACTACAATTATATCCGCCATATCTCTAACCTGCGCATCCTACTGAGCTCACCAATTCTTCACAAGTGAACCTTGGAGCAGCAAAGCACTAACGGCCCCTACGCACGGCGGCGTGCGTTGTCGCTTGCCGGCGGGCATGTCTGAAGCTAGACCAACAACCAATCACATGAATCTCCCGCCCCGGACACACAAGCAGCAGTTTGATTGGCTAGAGCTTGTACTGGCATATGATTCGATTGGCTGACGCTTCCGTCGAAGCTTCAAAAGTAGAACATTGCTCTACTTTTGCAGCGAGCAACGCTTTGCTCCCACAATGCAGTTTGGCAAAGCGTGACGTCACCCCATTCAAAGTGAATGGGCAGAAGCGTCAACGCACGCCGCCGTGTGTAGGGGCCGTAATATAAAAAGGCACAATAGCAGTACCTATTATACTTCAACACTGGATGTACTCACCAGTCTTTCAACTCGACTGGGCAGCACCACGCTGGCCAGAGGAATGCTGACCGGTAGTTTACTCGGGTGGACCGTGCTCAGAGGAATACTGATTGGAAGGCTTTTAATGCCGCTGTCACCCTGAACAGATGGGCTCCTCTCTTTGCTCTACGTGAGAATATAAGAGTAGATAATGGTTAACATTTAGAAGTTGCAAGAAAGGTTAAAAAAAAAAGAAAACGGGTCAACAGTGCAGGTGTACATATTGCAAATAAAATAAAATGTTACCCTCTCGAAGCCTTTATTCTGGGCATCACAAGCATTGGGAGAAGGACAGTTCAGTTTGGCTCCCAGCGGCGAGTAAACACCTCCCAATTCCCTAAATGAAACGGGACAAACAAGTTAGCTTTTTGCTACCCTGGGGAGCAACGTAGAGACATTTGGGTGCTTTTAGTGCTAACCAACCTGTGCATGTTCAGTCCTGGACCTCTCAAGTGAGCGTTGGGGTCCTGGTTAAGGTGCCTCCGCAAGGCAATCTTGGCGGGGGAGAAGCGTGTGTAATCAGGAAGAGCGTAGGAGGAACTCAGCTGCCTCTGCCGGGCATCAGAGATGGCGGGTGCCATCTCATGGTACGGAGAGATGGGCAGATAGCGAGACAGAAGTTCCCCCTTGGTGTTGGTCCGGTCAAAACAGGGCAAGCTGGTGCCGTTGATCTCCATGCTGATGCCGTTAAAAGCCGGGATCGAGCACAGGCCGTGCTTAGAGGGGTCCATGTCCATGGAAGAGCGGGAATCCATGTTCTTTCTGTATGGGGAGCCGTGACAGGGGCTGTAGGATTTGAGCTGAAGCAACTCCTGCTGCCTTTGAGTTTTCTCCAGCTCCACTATGCTGATCTACAAACAGACACAAGGGGGAGCCGTTACACTAAAGAAACAGCACTGTGTTACACTCCTGATATGTCAAGAAATGTTTATGACAGAAAATCCTCAGCTCTTCCTGAAAGCTATCATTTATACAGTTTAGGTGACAAGCATAATTCCTCTTGAATATCTATCTGAAGAGCGAGTTTGATGGGCAAAAGGGGGGCGGAAGGATAGAAGAGAGAACAGAGCAACTGTGGGGGAGTATTTCAGAGGTGGAAGCATTTCGTGATGAATCCAAAAAGTTGAGGAGGACTGTGTACCTGCAGCTCCAAGCAGTGTCTCTGCTTTTCAGAGATTTGTCTGCGTAGCACCTGCTTCTCCTTCAACAAATTCTCCAGACACAAAGAGCCCCAGTCCAGCTTCAGCTCCTCACATCGAGACTTCAGCTGGAAAACAACAAACATACACGCTTGATGTTATTGAATCGTGAGAGAGAGCGGGAAGGAAAGTCAAACCTAGATTCATATGGGCCTGAAGGGCATGGCTGTGGAGTGAAAACTACAGCTGAGCTGGGACTGCATCCACCATTACACAAAGGCAGAGCAGCAGGAATGGTGACAGGTGGGAGCCTCGGGGGATGATGTAGTAGTGAGGGTGGAGGTTACAACAACATAGTAAGCCCTGAGCGCTCACCAGAAGCAGGCTATGGTCTCTCAGTAAGGCCATGTCTCTCTCCAGCTGCTTAGTCTGCTCTTTCAGCTGACGGTTGTGGGCTGAGATCTCCTTCTGGGCTTGCAGCAGGTCCTCCACAGTCAGGGCTTTCACCCCCAGCTGATCGCCACATACACACATCATATATAAGCCACAAACACAATGCCTAAACAACAACTTAGCAGTACAAATCTTTAAAGCGTTATGCAGCCGTTGTTTGGTTTAGTGTAAAAAAGCAAAGCAAATGTGGCAATGGTTCTTCTTTACTACGGTTTTATGGAATAAAGTGATTAAGCAAAGGGGGCTTTTGACACCACTGACCGTTCTAAGTCAATAATAAGAAAGGCCTCATTGTGCATTTGTGTTTTTCCTGTGTTCATTGTTAAAGCACTTCCAAACTGTTTCTGATCACTGTAACCTCACATCACTGTTGGGTGTAGTAAGAGCTTTCAACACAGCACTCGATACGACGCACTTTAACAGACTTAAAGTTTTAACCAGACGAGCTTATTGTTAAGTTTATTCTCATTACAACACAACGCTGCAGGTAAACACCCAAAATAAGATCTGCCTCGCTTTCATTAAAAATTAGCTTAAACCATGTTCACCTGGAAAGGGATATAAGTTGTTCAGGCTGTCCCTCAAACAGCTGTAATTAAGGGCTAATCTCAGTACATGATACCGTTTTTGGGTTTTATTTGTATCCTTCATTTGATGAATGACCTTAAAGTAAAATAACTTTATAAGCATGGATGCATACAACTGCTATTTAATACAAGAAGTTAGTGGTAATATTACCGATTGTATCTGTATATGAAGTCAAATTGAGAAACGGCTCCTACCTCGTCTAGTTTGGTCTGAAAGAGACCTTTGATCTTGTCCTTGTGAGTCTGACAAACAGAGTGGAGCTGCTCCGCCTGCCCTGACAGGTCCCTGTGCTTTTGCTAGAGACAGAAAAATAGAAGATTACATGTAAGAGGTTGGGTAAAAAAGTAAAAAAAACAAGGTTTAATTTGTGTTATTTGGGTTAATGCTAGGGCTGCTCGATTATGGCAAAAATCATAATCTCGATTATTTGGGTCAATAATTGATATCACGATTATTAAAAACGATTATTTACTTTGAAAACATCAATTTATTGAAAAAGAAAAGTGTAGTATGCTTTTAACAATAAAAAATAATAATATTCTTTTTAATTATAAATAATAATAAAAAAAAATAAAAAAATAATCGTTTTATTTTGATTATGTTTTCATAATCGTTGCAAGCCAAAATCGTAATTGCAATTAAAATACGATTAATTGAGCAGCCCTAGTGAATGCAACTTAATATATGTAGTCATGATATGGCCGTTAAATGCCAAAGTGAAACTGCAGCAGAAGCCAATAGTGTCTGCAGAGGGAGAGTTGATCACCTTCTCCTCTTCTAAAAGCTCCTGCAGGTTGGAGCGGTACTGAGGAGTCTTCATGTGGGTCATAAACTGGAGGTATTGTACTTTGATGTTATCTGTAAGAAGATGTAGATCAGGGACACAGAGAGAGGAAGAGAACAGAAACACAGGGATTGTATATTTAGGTATTTGTTGGAAAAAAGGAGTTCAATATAATAATTTTACAACTGTTCATATCAAAGCCTAAATGTGAGACTAAAAGCAATAGTTAACATTATTATCTTACATACAGATTGGTACAGAGTCTGGTATAATATTTACGACATATTTTGACAGATAAAATAATGGAAGTGAGTCTTCCTCAGCTCACCTAGCAGGTGCTGCAGCCCGGGAGGAGTGGGGCTCAGGATCAGCTGAGAGGAGGGATAGTGCTGGACCTTGGGAGGTAGCTGGTAGAACGGACTCTGAGGGGGCCGGTAAGCATCTGTGCACACAAGGAGAATAATAATTGTTAAAACTGAGATCTCTTAAGCTTTCTGTACTTTGAGGCACATTGTGTGTGTGTGTGTGTCTGACCCTGAGGGGGGGCTGCAGAGAGGGTCTTGGCGTGCAGCAGATCCAGCGCACTCTGGTTCTTTTTGTTTTTCTTCTCCACAGCCGGGACGGCCTTCTTGGGTCGACCACGTTTCTTGTTGTTCAACTTGCGAACTTTGGGCAGGAGTCGGGCTCTTCGGGGTTTGGCAGGGGGCTTGACCACGGTCACCAAGCGAGGACGCTCGTCCTCACCGCAGGAGTCCTGCTGCGATACGCATGACAAACACACCGTACATATTCATACAAGGAGAAAGAGAGCTGGCCCTGCTGTGTGACCCTATTGACTTCATCGAGAAAAAAGTCAAGGACAAAAAAGCGGTGATACATGGTAGGAACATTTCAGCTGTGAATCGAATTATGAACTCTCGGAAATTCAATGAATGAATGTTTTTTTTTTTTTTTTAGAGTTTGCTGAAGTCATCAATTACTATGACCATGTACAAGTTGGATGTTTTTTTACTGTACCGTTGGACCAAAATGTATGACAACACATTGACCATGTTCCTATCTAAGCAAATCTTGACAGTAGGATCCCGCCTTGGTGTAGTACCGTAATTTTCGGACTATAAGCCGCGCCTTTTTTCCCATTTTTCGACCCTGCGGCTTATATAACGGTGCGGCTAATCTATGGATTTTTACAGCTAACGGCCACTAGGGGACCTCCTAAATCTATGGATTTTACAGGTTACAGTCCACCACCTTTAACTCTATGGGCTCTATGGCCGGTCCGCGCCCCCCACCTTTAAGCGGCGGGCTCCAGCAGGAAAAGCTGGAGGCCGGAAAAGAGTGAGACAGGTAGCGCGCACAAGTAAAAGTGGAACCGAGAGTGGTACGAGAGACAGAACGAGAGCAAGACAGACAGACATTACGAGAGCGAGACAGTTTGTCCCCGTACCACTGGTTGAAAACCACTGCTGTAGATCACTGCCGGTACGTGCGCTGGGAGCGCACCGTTTAAGTTTGAAAGTTGAAAAGTTTGTGTGTCTGAAACGCTATGTGATACAGTACAGTTTACACAGCACAGTACATGTTCTGTAGCTACTATTGCACTAAATGGTAACACTTGAATACGTTATGCAAATATGCAACTTGTTTGTTGAAATGTTAATAAATGGGAGCTTCCTCAAACAGCCA